ATTGTCATTTCCTATGACAATAAATAATAATACTGTATTCCTCTGGAATTATCGATAGTTATAAATGTAAACCTTTGTAAGGAATGAAGATTTTTACACTGAACTGCAGCATATGATTTAAGGAAAGTATATTGAGAGTGTGAATAAATGGTGGCTTCTCTCTGCAGTCTGCTGAGGAACATCTTTTCAATACAGTCCATTTCCATGTTTAGTGCTTTCCATAAGCGTTCACATTTATTTATTTATTTAAACCAGGTATGTCATTGTTGTTGTACATTTTACTTATGTATTTGGGGTTTTATTTCCATCCAAGAATATGCAACAGAAACAATTAGCCTTAAAGCTTCAGGGTGTTTTGATGGGATTGTTGTTTTAATTTTATATTAAAAAATTAGTGGTAAACCATTCAACAAAAGCAAACGTACACAAACAGTGAGGATAACTAACTGCTCTCAGTTATTAACAAACATCATGTTCGACTATTACTGTTATTTGGCCGTAGAAGAAAGTGGCCTGGCGCTCACTGGTCAGAGCGGAAAAGGGGAGTCTGTTGCCCTCCTGTGGCAGAGAGGGGACCTGCAAGCAGGCAGTTCTGTCACCACCGGGGTCTGACCACACGGATGATGAGGATGCATATGCAGCATGACACACATTGCATACGTGGTTTCCAGACAGCTGGTTGAGGTCCGTGCTGACAGTGTAAACGGAGGTTGAATATTTACAAACGTCACATTTTGCACTCTCAGAGCTGCAAGGTGAAGTAGAATGAGTGGTGTTGGAGGTGCAGAGGTCACTCACCCTTCCTTCATCACCATCGGCCATGACCTCCTCGGCCCTGCCCATTGCTCTCCTCAGCTGTGCTCTTATTTTCTGCCTCAGAGCCTGCAGAGGAGCTTGGAAACGCTTGCTGAGCAGAGCATACAGGAAAGGGTTGATGTCTGAGTTCAGCAGCATCAGCCAGTATGATAAAGTAACAGCGTAGGGGGGAACCAGGCTGGACTGGCCTGAAACTGCACTTTCTGAGGCACTAATAAGGGCTACGCCTATGTAAGGAGTCCAGCACACGAAGAAGGCCATGATGACCAGGAGGAGCCGCACCACACCGTGGTGGTTGTGGTGCTGCTGGTTGTTCTGTGGGGGTGGCTGGGATGTACCGTGGGCCAGGAAGGAGACTAGATGTCTGGATGTGGGCTGGTTCTGTGCTGGTATCTGACTGATGTCAGACACAAACTGTCCACTTACGTGGTAGACTAGCTGGGAGGGACCGTTGAGTCTCTGACAGTGTTGCTGAGCTGAAACACAGGGATCTCTGCTTCGCTGGACAGAGTCCTCCAGGGTATGAATCCTCCTGGCGTGGCTGCGTGCCACCTTCATGATGTTGACGTAGCAGAAGAGGATGACCAGTGCAGGGATGAGGTAGGAGAGAGTGACCATCAGAGCTGTGTAGCTGGAGCTGCTGGCCCAGTTGATTGCACAGTTATACATAGGCACCACGTAGGTCACAGAGCTCCAGCCCAGCAGAGGAGGGCAACTAGTGATGAGAGCCTGCAGCCAGATCCACAGAACCACCACGCTGGTCCTCCTCAGGGTGCAGCGGGAGCTGTAACGCAGACAGTCCATGATGGACTGGTAACGATCGAAGGCAATTGCCGCTAAAGTCAGGACAGAAGCTGTGCAGTGCACAGAAGAGGTGTAACCCACGTACAGACAGAGGTCCTGTCAGCCAAAAGACACAAAAAACCAGACTTCAACATTTGTTTGAAATTGAAAAAAAAAAATCAAGAATTTCCTCAGCTTGGGATCAACAAAGTCAACAAAGACATTATACACATATACACATTTACATATGTAAACATATTAATATATATATGTACTGAATACACATATATGTGTATAGCTTTTTGTTTTAAACCCTTTATCAAACAAAAGGACATGCAAATACAGACCCATACACATACACACACACAGGACTTCAGGTACATCACCGAATACACCCGATGTTACGTAACAGCACTGAAAGGAGGAGACGTACAGTAGAGTTCACCCATCCACGGTTCATGAGGGACGATGCAACAAAGGGCATAACTCCGACGCCCACCAGGAGGTCACTGATGGCCAGGTTCATTATCAGCACTGATGTCACAGAGTGGAGAGTCTTGGTGGCAGCCACAATTACAATGACAAGAATGTTACCTATGTAAATGAAGTACACAACGAAGCAGACAGAACATATATATTAAAGTTAAATCACACCACATCTTTTTTTATATATATCATGAAGATTTCACTACCAGCTCTTCATTCAAAGTACAACGGCGGATTCTGTACCTGTCACAGCGCCCAGACACATCAGCACCACCAGGAGCTTCAGAACCAGCTGTGTCTGCTGGGACTCCACAGGTTCTGCTGGTTCTGTCCAGCTCTCATTAGTCGAGGCCCACAGAGGCGCCCCAGGCTGAGCCCAGGAGCCGTCCACCTCCTCCATGTCCCACTAAGAACCCGTTCTCACATAGCGAACCACGCGGCAGTGAGAGCGCACAGAAAGAAAAAACACTTGCCAAGGAGAGGCTCCATCTGCTCCTCAGCTGGTCTCCAGGTGAACAGACTCCTTCACAACATGGAGGAGGAGGAGGAGGAGAAGGAGGCATGGACACCTCCTCTACCTGACTTTAACTCTTTAATTGCTTTTCTTGAGCACAGAAACATTCAGCAACTGTGAAAGCCACAGATGCAACTGTAGATAAAACATTTTATTTATACACAAGTATAAAAACAATGCGGTTAAAGTATTACAAAGAATTGCAAAGTAAAAATATTGTGAGTCCATCAGCAAACGTAGTACTCATGTAGTTTTCATATCCTATGACTTGTACACAGGTGCTGCCCTTTATTTTTGTTTTTGTTTTAACTTCCTCAGATGTCATCACCAGCTGCATTTGTACTTCAGCTTGAACCGGAGCTGAGATGTTGCCGGGTGTATTCCCATATCAGTAGGGCGGCGCTCACATGCACATTGAGGGAACGGATGACACCTTGCTGAGGTATCTCCACACAGACGTCCAACAGCTGCAGCAGGTTGGCTGGGATGCCTTCTCGCTCATTGCTGCAATGAGACAAAAACAAATATTAGTCACTTTTACTTATAAGACAGTTTTCAACTGCTAAGACGAGACCTTCAGAATGAAGCTACTAAAAACTGTCATGAAAGCTACACGGAAGCTTCATATTTAACCATATACAAGAATGTAAACACAGCCACCCACTTCCAAAACAGTCTCGATCAGTGCTTTATGATCCATTTTCTTCTAAACAGGACCATAATTTAATAATGTGAAGACGCTCTGTTAAAGAAGATCAACAAACTCCTCAGGAAAGGGTTTTATGATGTTTTCACCTAAATCAGAAGAAGTCATTTCTTGTTGATACTTATCATTACATTTCATTATTATAATAGTAAACATTCAACTGTTGTCCACACATTAACATCCTATAATCACCTTTTAGGCCAAGGTGGCCATGTAATTACTATGAAACTGATGTACATAAAAAACATGATGATACTACCTAAAAATACACACGATGATTATGAACAACTTCAAAAGTATTGAATTACAACTAATATTTTTTTAAATGCAGTTTTTCTATCTTTGGAATTTGGATCAACAAAAATGTAAGATTACCCATGCTGTCCATAGATACTGCTGAACTGCATGAGGTCAGCACTGAGGCAACACACACGACGTCACCTCTGAGCTCACTCTCCTCCACAGCCTCCCTGTTAAATCTAATATTGATTTTTACATATTTTACTGCTCACCTTAAACGACTTCAACAGCCTCTCAGTGCCAAGTGCCTCCCAGATTTATCGATGAGGTATTTGCCCTCTGGAGATGCACCAATTGAATTATGCAGGTTTCTCCCTGATCAAACCTCAAAGCTTCATGTGCACAACACTAAGCTGACTATTAACAAAAAAAAAAGTTGATGTGAAATATTTTTTATTTCAGCTCTTGTTTGCTGCTGGAATGTGAGAGCATTTGTTATAAATGGAGAGATTGTTCTTTATTTTAGCATAAAAACTCCAGAGCAGAACAGTGAATCAACAGCTATAAACTAAGTGTATGCTACACTGATCCTATAGGGTCATAAAGTAAGTTTACATAAACACAAAGACGTAGCACATTTGGCTTTTAGTGAGTCCACAGAGGGAGGTGCACAGCAGGAGGCCTGATTCTGAGGAGCTACATTTATCTCTGTGGCTGTGATAATAGTCACCCGATGAGGGATTAGAGTCGGGGCGTGCTGCACATTGCTGTGAAAGCCACACAGGGTGATCTCACACATACACAACTTGCTCTGCTCACACCTTTATGACTACACACACAAACACCCCGGCACAGACACAAGCAGTGAGTTGTGAGGCCTGTGACACGACTAAAGTGTATAAATATCACCGAGTTCATTTCTCCAAAGCAACAAATCAGTGAACACAATTTATTCCTTTTGACCTTTTCAGGGCTGAGCAGAGCAGCACCGCAGGCTGACCTAGACTGTGGTTACACATTTTTCCTGCTGTTGTCATCAGACGCTGTTTGTATTGGCTTGTGTAATTCATTTCTCACTTTTGTCCCGTGGGAGAGCCAATTACAGCCCTGCATGTCCCGACACGTACAAGGAAGACAGAGGAGGTACAAGACCCACAGAGGGGAAGAAAAAACAGTAAACGTACAGGTTAACAAACAGCACCGTCAGCTCACACCTTTATCTCTGTGGAGGAGGGGGGACGGGGGAGTTAGAGATCCACTAACTGTGAGACAATGTTTGATCATACCCTAGAAGTAACAGGGTCTTCTCCGGAAAGCGATAGATGTCAAGGCTCTGACTGTTGGCTGTTTGTTCCACCCCAACGATGCAGTAGCCTTCGCTCTTCTTCTGCTGCAGAAAGTCACTGAGCTCCACTGGCTTCACCTGAAGAAGAGATGTGGACTGTTATGGATTTAAATCCACTGGAGAAAAAACTGTGAAAAAATTACTATAAAAGTACCACAGTACTATAATGTAAACTGTGCAGCAAAAAAGCCAATTTAAAGCTATAAATGAAATGAAAGGCTGTAATACAACATTATTATTAAAGTATACAATGTTATTTTATTTATTTTTTGTATTTATAGCATTAAACAAAAATTCATATATGCATATTTATATACATTTATATATACTATATACATATACAGCATATATGTTCATATATTTATGTTGTATATGTGTGTATACATATATGCTCTTTATAAATATATACATAGATATATATATTTAATATTGTATACATGAATTATTTTACTTAAGATATATATATATATATATTCATTCTTTTGTCTTATTTTAAAACCCGTTCACTTCTGTGCAGTCCGGTCTCTGCAGTCGCCCACAAAAACACTATCCCGGAGTATTCAGACATTTTTCTTCTCTTTCATGAGATTGCCATTTACGCACCAATGACTTCTGAAAGGTTTCAGTTCCTTTGGGAACAGCCTGGCATGTGTCTGGACATGACAGACACCGGAGAACCAGAGTGCATGAGACATTTAAAGGCAATACAGTCATGCTGCGTTATCACCATAGAAACTGGCTCATTCACCACTAAATGTATCAATCAAGGATAATCGCTTATTCAGATACCTTGGGAAAATGTGATTTTGTTAAAAACACTGACTTTATTCCAAGGTCAACGTGAGAACCTCATAGTTTTGTGAAGATCTAGATCATTTTAAGACAAATGTTTCACATCACACACTCTGACCTTCCAATATCAGAGGACAAAGTCACTGAATAATGAACAAATTAATCAGGGAAAGTATTTGACTTTACCTCCAACAGGGGGAGCCACAGCTCGGAGGAAACGCTCAGGGACTGAAAGTTCTTGTCGTTGATGTGTCGAAGGTTGTCCAGAACCAGAGCACTGGCCCCAAAAATCTCACATGTCCTGCACAGACCTGGAAGAAGAAACAGATGAAAATAATTCATTCCCTCTAATTTATTCATCTATCGTGTCAAACAGAAGCAGTGGAAGGAGAAGAGGTGAAGAACTAAATTAGATTTGTTAGTACAGATCAGTAAGTGTTAGTTATTTGTAATAAAAGTCAAGGTTATTAAACATACGTTGAAAAGTACACCTCTCATCCAAGAGGCTTCTTCAGCTCTGAACTGAAGAAGCCTCTAGAATGAGAGCTGAAACGTCTTCTTTTAGAAAATTCACGTCCAGTTGCCTAACAGAACTTTTCAACCTTGACCATGACCTGGATGACTGAGAATCTTCATAGACATAAACATACGTTCAAATGTCAGAATTACTGATTTGTGCTGTTTCTGACCTCCTAAGTTGGTGGGTTTGTCAATAAGCGAGGCCACCACCAGCAGAGCGCCCAGCGATTTGCCCAGACGAGCAGCCCTCTGTGATGGAACCAAGCTGAGTTCAGGCTCCTGCTCCTGGACTTCCAGCCTCCAGGGGGTGATCTTTTTCTGCACCTCAGCCCAGCGCTCTTCTTTATCCTGTCCGTCTGGATGATTAAACACCATATTGTAGCATAAATTACCAACGCTTATTATTTAACCTGGACAGTGCTGTACTTTTGTCTTGTTGGATCCAGTCTCCAGACTGCAGCTGGCTCAGACGTAAAGAGGGATTCTTTAAGGGCAGAGATGAGCATTCAGAGAAACATAACAGTTTCTCAAATTTCCACAGAGGAATCCACTCATCGTCTGCGACCTCTGACAGAGAGGGAAAGGTGTAGAAAATGGTCTATGGAAGGAAACAAATGATATTAGTGTGTTAGCTGCTGATTAGTTTAAATGTTTCTAAATTAACATGTTCTGCACAAACTCTCCAGCAAACCTCAGCACTGTAATCTTCAACAGGATGAAAGGCACCAAAGAAGAAGTGCTCCTGAATTCGTATCCAGTTTTTGTTTGCATTTCTACAAAGTGACACAGACCAAAAAAAAGACATGAGCTTCAGACTTAAGGTAGTTGTTCTGCTCTCAGGTTAGTACCATGTACTTTACCCAGTGTTTTGCATGGCCTCAGCCTGGTTCAAACAGGCCTTGATCACAGTGGACAACCCTCCCAAACCATCGGTCACTCCCTCCGCCTGCACTGCAGCCAACTGCCAAACCCTCTTCAGGGCCAGTAAGGCATAAAGGCGCACGCTGAAGTTATGGTTGAAACACCATTGCAGAATGATGTCCAGAGCTCTGCGCAACTGTGACGGCTTTTACACAGAGAAGAAAAATACAATTACAGAGAGAAGAGATTAAAAAAAAAATACAATTACAGAGAGAAGAGATTGAAAAAAAAGAGTAAAAAAAAACAAAGAGAGCTTTACCTGATCCTCAAGATGTGGCAGGATGATATCAAAATGGACCAGGACTGACAGGTAGGTGCAGACACTGGTCTTAGTCTTTTCATGATCCTACAGGAAAGAATTCCAAAACTAAAGGGTGATTCATGTTTAACTTTAACTTTTTATTTCTGAGAGCCTGTGTGTATACACTGGGAGCTCACCATGTTGAAGCAAGCCCAGAAGCTGTCCATGTGCTGTGGGTAGCGTATGAGGATGAGAATCATCATCCACTCAATCAAATACTTCACTGACGCCTGGTTACTGTAATATCCTGCTTCAAACACGTGAGTCAATGAAGTCGTGACAAAATCCTGCAAAGACTTGCCATTAATTCTGAGTAAAAGCCCTTCCCACAGGAACCTCTGTGCACTGACCGTTAGCTTACGTCTCTTAGTTTGGGGAGCAACAGAAGCAGGGTTTGCCACACTCGGTTTTTGACACGGTGTTGCAGGGAGTTGCTGTATGCTCGCACCTTTGACCTTGACAAATCATTGTCCTGGAAAGATGAGGAAAAGAAAAAAATGATTATTAAATTAGCAGCAAATGATGCTTGTAATGATTTTCAAGTGATGACCTGTGGTCCAAATCCAGTCCACTGAACTGTCCAATCTAGCCCACAGCTGGATTTCCAAATTGTAAAGGTCAAAGAGAAAATATTATGTGGTCCCCACTATAAAAGCAACTGGAGCTTAAACAACCATCAGTTATCCCCACCACTTATGAATTCCATTAAACAAAAATGTGATTTTTATTTCACAAGTATAAATAAAATGTCCATCCTTTATTTACCTTTTTTAACAAAGCCATAACTACAGTCTCCATCACTTTTTCATGGAGTGGATTTGAAGAATCCAGGCGACTGAGGAAGGACAGCACACACATGCGGGGGTACTGTTCATCCCTGGAGTTATCACTGTGAAATATAATCAGTAGTTACATTCAGCACAAACAGGGAACTCTAGTGGCAGTCTTTTAAACTGCAGCCACAAGCAGGAGGTCATTCTCACCTTTTCAGTGCCACATTGACAGCACACTCCTCACCAAGCTGCTCCACGTATGTTTGCACATCCTGGATTAACCTGGGAAACAAAAAAAACATTATATATTTACATATTTCAAAAATTGACTCATCTGAAAAAAAAAAATCAGATCTTCGTGAAAGACTCACCTCTGGTCTCTTCTGAACACTGGTCCATAAACACAGGCCTCAGTGAGGATGTGGATGTGGCTGAAAACACTAGAAAACACAGCGTCAGCGTGGTCACTGCCCCCCAGTCCTGTGGGCATCCATGTTTGAGAACAGTGGTGGAGCAGCACACCAAACACGCCGCTCTTTGACTGGGAAAGCTCAATCAGCTCCAGTGAAATCTTAAGTCACACATGGACAAAAACACTCGTAAAAATACTGTACAGTGTAAAAGGTTCAGTTCAAAGCAGGCGATCGGAAGTGAATCACCTTTTTCAAAGTGGATGTGAATTTCAGAGCTTGCCCGTGCGACAGCTGCAGCAGTTGCGGGTTAAATGCCATAGAGACAAATCCTTTTAGGCCTGACCAGAAGTCGTTGGCATTGGAGGTCAACCCTTGCACCAGTTCCCAACTCTGAGTCACAGCCTCCACACAAAGCTCTTCTTCATCGGTCAGTAACTGGGATAATAAAAAAATGATTAGACGAGAAGTGTTGACAGTCTTGACAAACCCTAAATACCACACAGCTACACTGGTGCTGTCATATGATTTTTTCTTCATATGACAGCAGATAAAATAAGATCAATGTTCATTTTGACAGTCTTTTTCTACAGAATCGTCATGAACTAAGACTTACTTGAGGCAGGATTGTCTCCATAAAGGTGAGCACAGGCAGCACCAGGTCATTGGGCAGCAGTGCCAGAGCGTCAACACTGCGACTCAGAGCAGCTTTGACAGTATCCAGCGTCCTGGAATTTTCAGGAATCCCAAAAGTCTTAACCAGGAAGCTAAGACAAACCCACTGGTCCCTCATAAAATTGGCAGCGATACGTCCCCAGTCCTTCAGCAGTGGACCGTGTACTTCATCATCACTACACAAAGAATACAATGAAATCCAAACTATGTACTGGAAAGAAGTATTTCTATTATAAAGACTTAGACCATGATAAATTGAGTGTTTGGATCTTCTAGACCTCACACTGATGTTTTAAATAATCATTGCTGTCGTTGTATATTTTTTGAATTCTACTTAAAAAGTTGGATTTCTATTTTGCTATTTACTTTTATACAAACCATAAAAAGTCTTCAGTTTGTGGTTTCAGCAGACATCTGTTAAAGTTTCCAAGCTCAGAACTATACAAGTAGTCATTCAGAGTTTTTAGAGCAGAACCCGTCTCTGATCTCATGGCAACCACCTCCTGCTCCACAAGACCACAAACCCTGGCCAGAGCTGCCATAGCAACAGCTGTAGACCCCTGGTGTGCCATAGAAGGAGTCTGAAAATGAGGTGGTGAAAAGACACAATGATCAGGCAATCAAGAATAATCAGGCAGCATAAAATGGTTCATGAAATTCCTGCATGATGATTTTTTTTTTTTAAATCCTCTACCTGCAGGCTCGGCTCCTGCAACACCGTGAGGCTGTGCTTGATGAGTTTAGAAAAATCACTGCGATGAACTTTAATGTGCTGCTGTGCTGTAGAAGTGGAAACGAACCACAACTGGCTCAGTACGCTCAGATACAGTTCTGCTCGTTCGACATCAAATAACTGACAAATGAAAACAGGGAGGAGAATAATGGAGAAGGTTAAACCTACAGATACATGCAGTATGTTATTCAGAGCAACTGCGGTTTAGTGGATTTACTTTTCACCTCTTGTAGTTCGCCACACAAACGCCGCAGAATAAAGTCCTGGATCGGATATAAGAGTTTTAACATCAGCTTCTCCAGTGTGACAATCACAGCATCACCTGAAGAAAGCAGATTTTGAAATAAAGATGATAAAATAATAATGATAATTGATAACTTGTACTAGAGTTAAGAAATAACACCTGATAGTAAACAGTAAGCTTCAATAAAGGAACTACAAGAAATTAATTTCCTTTTTTAAAAGATAAACCTCTCAACTCTTAATTATGTATGTAGATAATTCCCCCTTTTTTCATTTTTAAATTCTATTTTTCACCTTTTTCATTTTTCTGCCTGCAGAGTCTGGTTTGGCATGTTTCCTGTGTGTCATTACAACTGCATTGTGCACCTGATTCTAAAAAATACAGCCCGCCCCCCAAAGAAAAAGCGTAACAGTTATAAATATAATCACATTTAAAACAAAATAAATTCAAAAAGAAGAAAAATAAACAACACAAGACATAGTGTTGACACAATCAAATATTTATATTTCCTGTTCACATCAATAAGTGTTATTGTTACAAACCTCTCTCCCCTGGTGTTTGTCCGAGCTGGAAGAGCTGCAGCACCAGCTGCAGGCTCTTGTCGCTCTTGCGCAGAGGCAGGTAAATATTGGTACTGACTCGGCTCAGGGTGTCGAGCAGAGGCGAGAGCAACAGCTCCAGGGTGTTAGTGATGTCTGCACCAGACCGACTGTGCTCTACGTCAACACACAGCAGAACAGACCTGGCTAGCTTCTCAGCCTCTTTAGGGTCAGGTAACCGGTCAGTCTGACCTGTAAATTAAAAAGATGAATTCCTCAGAAAATCCCTGCAGGCAAAAACTTCACTTTATTTACCAGCTCTTATTTTCTCACCTACCTGTACTAGCTGGAACTCGAAGAAAAGCACATATCTGGCCCTGAATGTGTTCTCTGATGGTTTCCTTGGTGCAGGGGGCGCCAGTCTGATCAGCATCCACAGCACTGGGGCTGAAACCACCTTCATTCTCTGACAGCCAGTCACACACCTGCCATTTGCACAAAAATGGATTCATTTGCTTTTCAATGAATCAATCAATGGTACACCAAAAGGTCATTTCAAACATGTTCCTCTGAGTGAAGTCACTGCAGCTTACCTGAGTCCAGAGCTGCGTCCCTCTGCACAGTGACTCATCTGCACGGAAATGTGTCAGGAAGCTAAAGACGTCGTCCAGGCTCACAGCGCTCTGATGAAAAAAGCAATTCAGAAATCACTGTAACAACTGTAGATATTTAAAGCTTTTATTTTAATTATGTTGAAGACCTTCACTGTTGACAACATAAACAAAAGTTTCGAGTTACATTATCACAACACACAATAATCATGATAACTAATCAGTGACATTAATTAGATAAACTGTTTTAATTCATTTTAATGTAGAGGCAGAACAATGCACTTATAGATTATCCAGTAGAATCAACACACATACTGTTAGTTTTGCACAATTTTAATTTCACCTCAGGTTTGAAATACCATCTGAACCCCCTTCATGTCTGTGTGGATGCTTGAACCTCAGCTGAGATGTCCAGTTTACGTCAGACTTGAGCACAGTGAGTGAGTCTACAGTTAACAACATTGTCACATGGATTGCAACTCTTGACATTTTCTGCAGCCTACTGCACAATAACGACTAAAATCCACCAACACTATGATGCATTTTTCCATAACAATAATTCCATCATCCATCCATTGGATTAGTCAAGAGGTCTGAAACCATTTGCCTGCTGCTATTTGTCTTTATGTTCCAGCAATATACAGAAAAACAAAAACATTTATCTATTTCAATTAAGTATGATCAATTGTGATTATGGTCACGATTAATCATGATTCATACCAATTAATTAACAGCTACCTTTTGATTAATCACACTAAAAGTTTGAACCACAGGAAAGGCCTATTTCTTAATAAAGAACTGTAATGACTTTCAGTGCAGTTGAAAAGACATCAACAATCAACGATGGCGTCATGTATTATATTGCTGGGTCACTGAAATAAGCTCATATGTGACTGGCTCTTTGATAATTTGACCATTTACTGTATGTAATTCCAAGTTCTTATTATTATTAGTATTATTTAATGTTCACACATAATTATGTGTCTTA